CTTTTTTTTTTTTTTTTTTTTTTTTGAGACAGAGTCTCGCTCTGTTGTTAGGCTGGTGTGCGGTGGCACAACTTCGGCTCACTGCAACCTCCGCCTCCCAGGTTCAAGCGATTTTCCTGCCTCAGCCTCCTGAATAGCTGGGACTACAGGTGCACACCACCACATCCAGCTAATTTTTCTATTTTTAGTTTGCTAGGATGGTCTCGATCTCTTGACCTTGTGATCCCCGCGCCTCAGCCTCCCAGTGCTGGGAATACAGGCATAAGCCACCGTGCCCTGCCCTGGTGATGTTCTTTAGTAACTGTGGAACCAGTTTAGGGAAAAATCAAGAGTTCTGCCCATGTTAAGTTCTATGACGTCAATCAGTATCCGATTAGAGGTATAATATAGACAACTGATTCTACAAATCTGGACCTCAGTGGATGTCAGAAACAGAGTTATAAATTTGAGATTAATCATGCTTTTTACTATTTAAAACCATGAAAGTAAAAGATTTTTCTTACAGAAAGAACATGGATGGAGGAGAGAGCCAAGAACCAGGACATCCCCTTAGTACCCTAAATTCTACAGATATACATTTCTACAACTCCACTACTGTATATTCTAGTAGGCTTCTTCTTTCATGTTTGTTATGTTATTTTGAAATATTGGCTGGACTGACAGAAGCAGTAAAGCTATTTATATAAATTCAATTTAATATTTAAGAGGAAGTCAAAATGTGTTTACAACTATAAATACTTCCTGTACCAAAAAAACCCATAAAGTAAAGCAGTTTCTTTTGACCATAGCCTTGAAATGTCCCAAGGTCTGGTTCAAAGAAGTTGAATGAACGAAATCACACAGACTCAGATGCAAATTACAGTTCCACCAGTTACTAGTTATGTGACAACCTAGCTGCACTCTCTTCATGCCCTATTTTCCTCATGGTAATAAGAAGGCCATGTTATCTACATCTGAGTAGCAGTCTTAAATGATATAATAAATACCAATATGAGACACATTAAACACTTCATAAATTTTATGATAAAATTAATATTTGTTAAGAAACAGTAAGAGCCAGGCACTCTGCAAAGGACTTCACCTAGAGTCTCTCACTGAGCTCTCAAATAACAACCATGAGAAACTTACTAGTAGTATTCCCAATTCCTAAACAGAAGCTGAGATTAGTTAAGGGGCTTACTCAAATCATAATGCACAAATTTAGTGGTTCTGTCTAATAAGTGGTGGTCCTAAAGCCCTTCTTTCTTATCGATTACATTGCAATGTTATTTTTTTACACAGAAAAGTCAAATTTTTATTGATAGCTTATTTTCATATTCACCTATAAAACTCTCATTTTGATATACAGTATGTTCTTCTTTACGTTACACCGTCATGACCAATTTACCTAGCAACTCGGGGGGACAGAAGAGATAGCTGCGTATGTGAGGAGTGTAAAGGCCAACGTAAGTTTCAGGAGGTACTTAAAGCATGCGGACAGTTTATCTTCTAAAGAAATACAGTCTGAGCCCACAAATCATAGCCAGTGCTTAGCTAACAACAACAAAAACCAGTAGATATGAGTTCATTTCAGCCATGGGCAAAGGTAGTTCTTTCGCGCTGCAAATGATTGTAGTTGTTGTCACCTGTCGACGGAAACGCTCCCTTATGCCTACCACTGCTCTCTTGGTTCCCTGATCCCCATTCGGGCTGCCTTATCTTGCACTCTGCTCTTCTGCATCTATTTCCTATCCAGTCCGGTGCTCTCCTCTCTCTCTCTCTGCTCAGACCGCCAAACGCCTCCAGGGATGTTTGGAGGGCTCTTTTCGAGGCGCCACCGTTCACCAATCCCATCCAGAGAGTCTTTAAGGCACCTTTTCAAGTGGAGAGAACACCCAGGAAACCTCTTCGCTTTTCCGGAGGTTGCTGGGGTCCCCCTTCTCACCCGCCCGGCGCCCGCAGCGCAGCAGAGCCCGCAGGTCTGGGGTCACTCGCGGCTCCCTCTGCAGCAGAGACGAAGGAGACGGCGGTGGGTCCCTGACAGACGACGCCCCCAGCCCAGCTGAGACTCGCGGGAACCTGCGACCCCGGACCCACCAGCCCCGGTTACCTTGTCATTATCCAGCCGCGTCTCCAGGATCTTATGCAGCTTGCGCGACAGCGGGTTGTTGGTCGTCGCCGAGGTCCCGCCTGCCCCATTGTTGAGGCCGTTCGCAGCCCCAGTCGCTGACACTGCTACCACCTCCCCACTGCCCTCTGCCATAGCGCAGCGCGTCCCGCCTCCTGCCACCTCAGCCAGGCAGGGATCCCGGCAGCAGCGTGAGTATTGCGCATGTGCAGATCGCCTGCGCATGCGCTTCGGCCCCGGAAGGCTCCACCGGGTAACCCTGCCTGGGCTCCTAGAAGCTTGACGGATGAGAAGACACTGGGGGCGGGACAAGACTCTCAAGCGGGAGGAGAAATTTTATAGGATTAGAAATGACTTTGGAATTTTGAATCTGCGACCTTCTGAGCTAACTAGATGTCACTAGCTAAATGAAGTACGTAAAATCCACCAAGACTTGGGCCTGGCATATACATTCAGTGTAAATTAACTGAAAGTTTAAATTTGCCTTATCTGAATTCATTTTTTTTGAAAAGTATTTATTGAAGGCATAGTATGTGCCAGGTACTCTGGTAGGCACTGGAGAATCTACGTTATGTGTCTGAGACAGACAAAGTTGTTCATAGATGTTATTAGGTTGTGAGGAGTGCTCAGGGCATGAAGTACAGTGAAAGAAAATGGAGGAAAAGGTCCACTTCACTCAGGGAGGCTTGGAAAGGAGTTGACACTTAAGCTGAGATTTGAAAGAGAATTAGGATGTGAGGAGAAATCATTGCCAGGTAGAAGAAAGTCCTCAAAACAAGATGAACTTGGCTCTAACACAAATGGACCAGAGCCCATGTAGCTGTAAAGTAATGGATAAGAAAGTAACAAGATGAGAAAACTTCCCAGAAAACTTTGGAAAACAAACATCATTGGTTTTTCTCCTTTCTTTTCTCAGTTTTTAAAATTTGGATAACAATAAAATCGCTGGGCTTATTTGTTGGAAACACTATTTGGCTCTCGTCATAAATTTTCCTTGTTTCATATATATCTATATACATAGTTATATTGTATATCAGACTTAAGGGAAAATTACCTATTATACAGGTCACATAAAACACTGACAAAACCACTCATCTCTACTCTAATAAAGAAAAGTTTCAACTATCCAAAAGAAAAAAATATACGAAAAGAAACAATAGGTATGAATTCAATTAAAAAATACAGAGAACCTAGATGAAGAAAAATTTAAAGTGCTACTGGGAGAACATAAAACTTAAATCAATGAAAAAAATATATCATTCTCTTCAACAGGAAGACTCAACATTGTAAGATGTCTTTTCTCTTTTACAGATAAATTTAAGTTCAGTGTAACCAAAATTAAAATATCAAAGGTGTACCTAAGTGTATATCCACATGAATCTTGACTATACAAAATATTAATATAACATAGAGTTTGCCAAAATGTACAGTTAAAAGGAATGACAATGTTAATATGCCAAGTCAGGAGGGGTCAGGAAATATCACATATTGTATGACTTCTTTATGTGAAATCTCCCAAATAGGTAAATCCATAGAGATAGGAAGTAGATTAGTGTTATCAATCAGTTCATGGTACAGGTTAGATTCTGGAGAGATGAAAATACCCTAAAGCTAAATTGTGGTGATGGTTGCACAACTCTGTAAATATACTAAAAACCACTGAACTATACACTTTAAATGAATGAATTGTATGGCATGCAAATTTCATCTCAAAGCTGTCTTTTAGGCCAAGTGTGGTGGCTCACACCTGTATTCCCAGCAGTTTGGGAGGCTTAGGCAGGAGGATCACTTGAGTTCAGGAGTTAAAAACTACCGTGGGCAACATAGCGAGACTCTGTTTCTTAAAAAAAAAAAAAAATACAAAAACTAGTTGGATGTGGAAGTATGCCTGTGGTCTCAGCTACTTGGAAGGTTGATATGTGAGTATCCCTTGAGCCCAAGGGTTCAAGCCTGCGGTGAATCATAATCATGCCACTGCTCTCTACTCTATCCTGGTTGACAGAGCAAGGCCCTATCTTAAAATTGAAAAAAAAAAAGAAAAAAAAAGTTTTATTTTAGAAAGTGAACGAGAGGTAAATAGACAAAGTGTTTAAGTAATTAAAAAAATTAATTTATATTAGTTTTTAAAAACTTTATTGAGATATAATTTACAGACCATAAACTTCACCTGTTTAAAGTATAAAATATGATAGCTTTTATTTACAGAGTTGGCAAATATCACCATCATCTAATTTTAAGACATTTTCATTACTTTAAGAAGAAAACTGTAGTGATTAGCAATCACTCCTCATTTTCCCCTCTCTACCATCTTAGGAAACCACAAATCTACTCTCTGTCTCTATAGGTATGCCTGTTTGGGACATTTCATATAAACAGAATTGTACAACGTGTAATCTTTCATGTCTGACTTTTTCACTTAGCATAATTTTTCAAGGTTCATCTATTTTGTAGCTTGTATGAGTACTTCATTCCCTATTATTGCCAAATAATAATCCATTATATGGATCTCCTGTATTTTATGCATTTGTTTGTCAGATGGATATTTGGGTATTTTCCAATTTTTGGCTTTTATGAATAATGCCTCTATGAATTTTCATGTGAGAGTTTTTGTGTGGATATTTGTTTTCACTTTCCTTAGGAAGATACCTAGGAGTAGACTGCTCTTGTGGTTAACTCTATGTTTAATGTTTTGAGGAACTGTCAAACAGGTTTCCAAAGTGATTGCCCCATTTTTCATTCCCACTAGCACTGTATGAGGGGCTCCAGTTTCTCCACATCCTGACTAACATTTGTTATGGTCTGTCTTTTTTATCTTATCCTTCCTACTTACTCAGTGTGTTGTGATATCTCATTGAGATTTGGCTTTCCACTTCCGAGTGACTAATGATATTGCGTTGTAAGCATTATTTATATATTCTGGATACTAGTCTTATTATTTATTGGAAAATATTTTTTCTACTTTTGTTTGTCTTTTCACTTTCTCAATGGCATCATTTGAAAAATAATTGGTCTTAATTTGATGAGGGCCAACGTATCAATTTCCTTTTTATTATTTGTGCATTTGGAGTCTTATTCAAGAAATTATTACCCAACCTAGACCACAAAAATGTATTCCTGTGTTTTCTTCTATTACATTGGCACAAAAGTAATTGTGGTTTTTGCTATTATTTTCAATGGCAAAAACTGTGATAACTTTTGCACTAACCTAACAAAATTTTAATCTAAGTGCTAAAACTATAACGTCTATCTTGTACCTTGAGCTAAGTTTTGTGTATGGATATTAGGTTAGGGACCCAATTTTATTGTTTTAAATATGGATATTCAGTTGTCTCCTGCACCATTTGCTGAAAAGACCATTCTTTCTCCCGTCTGAGCTTTTCTATAGATTGAGAAAAAGCAGATGATAAAATCCAGTTTCCATTCATGATTAAAAAAACAAGCAAACTCTTAAAAATTGAATAGAAAGGGACTTCCTTAATTGGATTGAGCGTATATACAAAACAAACAAACAAAAAACCCATGACAAGCATCACACCTAAGGAAATATTTAAAACTTTCTCCTTGACATCAAGAATAAGACAAAAAGTATCCACTATCACTACTATTTAGTATTTCACTAGAGGCTCAAACCAGAATCATAAATTAAGAAAAAAATCATAAAGATTAGAGAGAATAAAGAAAAATTCATACTCTTTGTAGGTGATGCAATTGTGTCCCAAGGTAATCCAGAAGGATATATAGAAAAAATGTTAAAATTAAAATAATAACCTTTCTCACACACATTTTTTTTCAAAACTCCAAAAAGCACAGGACCTTTGAATTCAACTAGCTTGCAAAAGAGGTTGTATGACGCTTTAGTGCCTCATTGCAAAAATATGTTTTTACATTGGTCACAACTTGCTTCATCAGTTATTATTGAAGAGCCCGTAAAGGTGATTAAAAATCTCACATTAAAAGGATATGGAGCCGGGTGTGATGGCACATGCCTGTAATCCCAGCTCCTCAAGATGCTGAGGCAGGAGAATTGCTTGTACCCGGGAGGCAGAGGTTGCTGTGAGCCGAGATTGCGCCACTGCACTCCAACCTGTGTGAGAAAGCAAGACCCTATGTTTAAACAGAAGAAAAAAGAAAAAGAAATGGTTGAAAGGAGGGCCTTTCCAAACTCCTACTCTTCTCCTTTAGATCAAACTTTCCAACCTAAGGCACGTAGCCTGCATGGATATGGCCTAGGACAGCTTTGAATGCTGCCCAACACAAATTTGTAAACTTGCTTGAAAAGTTGTGGATTTTTTGCCATTTTTTAAAGATCATCAGCTATCATTAATGTTAGTGTATTTTGTGTGTGGTCCAGGGAAGCCAAAATATTGGACACCATTGTTTTAGATGGTTACTTAAGCTTTCTTGCCCTTTGGCTTCTGAAATAAGAGGAAGTCACTTTGTATTGGCTAATGTGGCTTCATCAAAATGCAATATGGCATTTATTAAAACTATGTCTAATGAGTCATAGAATGTTCAGCCTTCTGCATTTTTCATTGTGTTGATAATAGTAGCTCCCATTATTTAGCAATTATGTTTATTGAAAATTAGGCCCTGTGCTAGAATTTATTGTACACTATTTTTATCTTCACAGCTACCTTACAACATAAGAATTATTATCATATTATCATGTAATTAGTACTCTTATTGATGAGTAAACCAAGACTAAAGAAACCTTTCCAAGGATATATGGCTAATTCAGATAACATAGCTAGGTACTACCTAAGTTGGTATTTAGTTAAAGGGTCGGGCCCGGCTCGGTGGCTAATGCCTGTTATCCTAGCACTTTGGGAGGCCGAGGTGGGCAGATCACTTGAGGTCAGGAGTTGCAGAACAGCCTGGCCAACTTTGTGAAACCCTGTCTCTACTAAAAGTACAAAAAT